TACAAAATGGAGTATATGGTTTTCCCAAGTTCAGAGAACATTAGCAGCTGTGATAAACAGAGAAAACATTCATCCCTCTACGTGACTTGAAAAACATGAGAAAATGCATTAGCAAAGAGTGAGCAGGCTTGTACCTGTGAAGGGAAACAATATCGTGTCTCACTGGTGGTTTTTCACAAAGGTGACCAAAGAATTTCTCTGAGATGGGAGAAATGATGGTTTAGAAACAGACTAGGTTGATAGGAAGACTCTCAAAAGGCATCAGACTTACTGAAGAGTGGAAAATCTTTTCCAATTGAAACTCCTTGATCCACTGACAAGCCACCAGTGCTAACCTGCTATTTTACAGCAGCCAATGCCCCTGCCCCTCACTTCTAAGCCCAGCCCAGCTCAGGTACTTAGTGAATGCTGTGGGAGTGTGTCACTGCCTGAGGTAAGTCAGGTGTAGCAATGGAGAATGGCAAGGCAAGAACCAAAAAAAAAAGGGGGGGTGGACGAAGTCTGAGTGAGGACGGCTTGGACATGCAAAAAAAGAAGTCCTCGAATAAATTGGTTATTTCTGGAGATACAATATTACCTAATTCCACTTATAGGAAATGCCTTAAACAGTTGAATTCTTGAAGACAGAATAGAGCTTAGGCTGCCCAGGAAGAAGGAATGCTGAATTCAGTTTAGTGGCTATGGAGTTTTGTTTTGGGGTAATGACAAGAAGTGTTGTGAAAAGTGTCATTTGGCAATAGAGTTAATGGCCACTGACACACGAAGGCAGCGATTGCTCTGTTTTAGCTTGGCCTCCACAAGTTTCTACATGACAAAGCCCAAGCACGTGTATTCTTTCATTTGATTCTCATAACACAAATGATACATGTCAGTGCTGTTCACCGGTCTATCAGCAACTGTACATTATACTAAGGTTAGAATCGAAGCTATTTATCAAGTATGCACCCATATATGAATGTCCACATCTCCCATATACTAACCACTAGTTTGAATGCTGCCTTCATAGGAGTGAGCTAGAAAAGACATCTTCTTTCTTGATGCTCATATCCCATGACAGATTATATTTCTGGCCACCTGTCCATCTACCTGCCATGATATCACTCTCTTTACTGCTGTTCCACGCCACTTCAGGCAATGTGCTAAAGGTGCCCTGCTAAGAAAGTACTGTATTACACACTGTCTCCTCCATTCAGAACACTTTTTCTCCCTTTGATGGCTGGCCCCCTTCTGTGTCACCTAGCTCGTGCAGGTAACACACTTTTCCTCGGGACTTCTCCAGGAAGTTTCTCCCTGGCTCCTTGGGTTTAGCATCAGACACACTCGGGCCTCTTTGCCTCTATCCTGGCCCTGTGGAGGGTTATCTGTAGAGAGCTTGATTTGCAATTTTGATTCTCCCTGTAACAGGCATTATGTTCCTCAGTGAATTTTGTTCATTGACAAACATACAGCAATTTTCTCCTCCACTCTGATCTTCATTAAGGCCTTTAACCTTCTGTGACAGTTCCATGCATCTGTGTGACCCCACACAGCATCTATAGTAAAGGTCAGATCTTTGCTTCAGGGCTAATGTCCATCATAAAACTCCAGTCTTTAAGTACAACCACCAATTCAGAGGAGAAAATAGTGTCTATATTGGTCTAACTGGAGTCTAATCCAGAAACTTTATTGAGCCATTGTGAATTGATTACAGAGCTAAGAACAAATTGGGTCCTAGGTATGCTAATTTAAGGCCTAGACCCATTAGTTACAAAAGCAAGAGTATTCATTGTCCCTATTGCCCTAACACCGATCCCAAGGAAGTTTACACTGGGTTTTTCACCCTAAACATCTCATTTCATTCTAAGTGCAAAATGGCTATACTGTAGCTACCACATACTAATTTTAATAGCACAGTGTAGTCTAGCATTTTGTATTCTTTACTCAAACATTTTTTTATGATAAGAAATCACAAAATTTTCTAGAAAACAATTCCTCATTCTGCTTGCAAAAATGTGGAGTCCTGTAAACAAAGAGATCAAAAGGTGACCAAGACCAGTATTTTGGAGAAGTGAAGGTGTGCACAAGGCCAAGAGCCCAAGGGAGGCCACAAGGATGAGACACATGCTGGGACCCTACTTAACAGGTGTAGGGACAATGGAGTTATTTTCATGTTTCTTACTGGGTTTCCCTTCATGAAAAACTTCTCTAGTCTTCCCAAATACGATTCAACTTTTCGAACTGACTAATTATATAGCTGTGTCTCCCAAGTAAACATCACTTGGCCTTCAGAAAAGAAGTAAATAAGGACATGGATGGTCCCTGCTGTATGCCAGGGATGCTATAGTCCCAGGGATTAGACAGAACTAAATGTGGACGTTCAGATATCCAGGGAAATTGGGGAACTGTACACCAGACATATAAGCAAGAAGGTAGTAAATAAGGCACTTGCTTGATGACCCCAGTGTGAGTAGAGTCAGGTGACAACTTTGTGGGAGACGCTTCTCACCTTCTACCATGTGAGTCCAAGAAATTGAACTCAGGTCCTGGAGCTTGGCTGCAAGCACTTTTACCAGCCCAGACATCTCTCTCACACTGGGTCTGTTTTTAAATTCTTTCTCGGTAAGACAAAACTCACAAAAATGAACCCTCATTTCCCCAGTAATATATATCTAACAACATGTTTCAGGGGGCCCCTTCTGGCTGTCTGGAGCTTTCCTATTGTTTGATAAATATCGCCTGTGTTTTACTCAAGGGAAAATGAAAAGGATTTATTTATGATAGAACCTGTGGAACTCATGTTTTATTAACTAAGGCAAATGGATGGTAAGAAAGCTAGCCCAGGGGGAAGGGCACCAATTTCTACCTAGCGTTATTATTTCATACACTAGGCCTTAAGGGGAGTTCTGTTCATTTTCCAAGGACAGACACCATGGGATATTTGCTTTAACTGTCATGTACCTCCTGAACATATATAAGCAAGGGGACTGCCACCACCTTGCCCATTCCCCATGCCCCACCTTTGTGGTGCCACCATTAGTCAGACAAACTTTGAGACCTGATAGGAAGGCATCCTTTGGACAAATGTGCCACAGTCTTCTCATTTATAACAGGAATGATACTGACTTCATAGATTGTTATAAGAATTAAATAAAATTAGTGATTAGAACATTTTAGTACAGTATATAATGTGTACAACAGTAGCTAAAATGTAATGATGTGTGTTCATTAATGTTACATCATTTCATGCAGATTAACAGCCTTAATGCAGGAAGATGCCAGTATCACCTTCATTGAGCTAACATCACGACAGCTGCTAAGTGTTAAAGCTTAGCTGCCACATCATATGCCATAAGGGACAGCACATGGCAGCCATCATGATGAGGTAAACACCTGGCTGTGTTTAGCTTCAGTAGGATGGCTGAAAAGGGTGGCTTTCAGATTTTCTTTAGATGGTATTCTGGCTGTTGAACCTGATTTTTACTTAATTTGACAGTGGTAGAAAATGCTACAAGGTGAAACTAATAGTATTGCCAACCTGACATTCCCAAACACCGTTACACCCTGCCATTCCTTAGGTCTGTGGGAAGAGCACATGACGTTTTTTGCTGTAGCCTTGATCAGCAACCTGGAAGGACCCATTGCTACTTCATAAGCCCACCTGCTCTTCCTCTGTAACATTTCCTAGTCTTCTTTCTGTCCCTTTTCTCAGTGTGCTCTTCCTAACACTTTGAGCTTCCCTTCTCCATGGCTCCCTCTCTGCTACATGGCCGACAGCAGTTTTTTCTCTCTCTCCCTTATCTCCCTCCTCTGGCAGATGCTGAGATTTACAGCTTGTCTGCACTGAATTGTTTCTTCTTCTCTTTCTCCCTTTCCTTCTCGTCCTCCTCTTCCTCCTCCCCCCTTCCTCCCCTTCTTCCTCCTCCTTTCCCTCCTTTCCCTCTACCTCTTCTTTCGAACCCCAAGAAACTTGTCCTTGACTTTCCACCTGATTCTGTCCTTAAATTCCTTCATTAATGAGACTAAGAACTGAAAGGGGAGAGCTCCATCACCCTAGTAACATGCGCAAATCTGGCTCGACGCTCTAAAATTTCCAGTAATATTGTTATTGAATCTGAGTGGGCAAAGTGTGTATGGATGGGTGACGGGCACGGTGAAGGCATTCTGGGGAGGGAGCATCATCTGACTCTCGGACTTTTCAGCTACAAGTTCACACAAGCCAGGTATTTCTTGACTGTCACATGCGAAGCCTGTGTAATTTGAAGTCTGTGACTGTCAACCGCAGTGTATATGAGACTCACACAATGAGCTCTTTTATTCTTTTGTAAGAAATGCTCCGGGTCTCCCCAGACTTGCTGGTCTAATGGGACTGTGGTGCAGCTTGGCATGAACAAGTCTAAAACCTCCCTGGTCTCTTACTATACCATCAGGTTGAAGAGCACTGACTACAGCACCTCTGGGGACCACTTAGATATAGCATCACGCCCTCCCATGTCCTGACAGGGATGAGGCTGTTTTGAAAAGGTGCTTGTGTGTCTCCCTTTGGCTATCAGACAAATGAAACAATGGATTCCAAGAAACTCAAATTTCCCTAGGAATCTCATGCTGCAGAGGGAGGACAGCTGGGGCCCTGATGGCAGCCAGAGGGGAAGCTTAACTCCCAGAAAGATTTCACAACCTGCCTGGCTGTTCAGCGGGAGAGGTTGGAGCTAAGACAATGATGGATAGATGATAACTGGGACCACACCCAGACCAGGACTGCATAGCTAGATACCACACATCTTGACTTCAACTTAAACTTCATTTCCGGGGAGGGGCCATTGGACCTCTTCGTGTGTTCTTCTCCCAGCGTATCCGCTCTAAATAAATCTGCTTTCTCTGTCTTTCACTATTATTCATCTGTTTAACTAGCCTACTGAGGATGGATGGCCAAGTGTAACTTGTTTGAGTTTCCAGGGCCCTGTCTCTGACCCTACTGATTCTGGTAACCCTGGAACACACCAGAAACATAAGAAACGAAATACCTGAAGCAGAATCTTGTTGCCATCATAGTCCTGAGTCTGCCACCTGGTGCTGCTGATGGGAACACACGGATTGGGTAGAAGAGGCACCAGCTGGCCGATCTCTTGAACCTTGAATTGCAGCACAGAAGACTCTTTGGGGTCCACTGGCATTCCCAGGGGCAGCTGCTTCAGAGAGAGCTGCAGGCTGAAGCCCTCGGTGGCATAGAGAACAAAGAAACAGAAGTTGCTCTTCTGCACGGTGGTGTCTCTCTGTAGGATCATCTCATACAGCCTGATGGCATCCTCATAGTTATCAAAACTGCAATACAGAGTCACTCTGAGGATATCAGTGCCACAGTGCACCGGCCTCATGCCCCACACTGGCATCTGGTTGTGCAGGCTGTAGAATTCCTGATTGGCAGGGAGATAGGGACAAGGCCTATCCTGTGCATGCTGAGTAGGGAAACCCTGCCAGGGTGAATGCTGTAGGAAGTCCAAGACTCGAAACAGCCGCTCCTGTCCCAGGCTTTCCTGAAGAAAGAGCAAAACAGACATCCCTGGGAAGCGGGCCCTCCGGGGGTGGTACTTTTCATGGTAATTCACTGGTCTGGCCCGTTCAGACACCAGGAAGAGACGCACCTCTGGGCAGATGCAGTCCAGGAGTTGGTCCAGAGCCTGCTGCAGAAGCGAGCCATTCCCAGTGTCAGCGAGAAGATGCACAGTCAAGGCTGGAGACTCCTGTGTCTCATCCATGGCAGGCCCAGGTGAAGATGATGATGATGATTACCCAGCAGGGCCCACTGCTCAGCCTTCTAAGATGAATCTAGGCCTCACACACAACTCTCTAGAAAAACTTCAGCAACTTCTGAACTAAGCTCTTAACCAGAGCACACGTGCTTCTGGCTTCCACCGATGCTCCAGCAGAGAATGTCACTCGAGTGTGGACTTTGCTACACACACAGCAGCAGTAGCTCCATGTCATCCGTTCTGGGCAGACATAACTATTTGCTTGGTTTTTTCAGGCATTCCCTAGGGTTTCTGTTTGACCTGAAAACCTATAATGCTGAGAACCACGCCAGTGGGTGGTTCTTACATTCAACTCAGTAGAGGAAATGAGCAGGCTGAGAGGAACAGGAGGCGACTCAGCTGCACTGATAGCCATCTGTAGCTCTGTTACACTGAAGAGACACCCATTTGGTGGACCACAATGGGCTCTGACTTCCTACTTAAATATCCTGATGTTTACAGTGGCCTGCCAGGCCACCTGAATAGGACGCCTTCTTTAAAATCACTCCCAGGCTTGTCCGCTTGCCAGAGCCTTCAGACACCGTTGCTTTTATTTCATTTTTGACCATTTTACTCTAGGTCACAAAAGAAGGGATATTTTGTCTACATAGTGTTGGCCTCATTGAAAACTGTTTGTCTGGCTGGACTAATAGTCTGGATGTACTAAAAAACGACATTAAGAGACTAAGTCACCTTTGGTTCGTGTAAATTTGTAGACAGTGAGCTTTCCCGTTGGGGTAATTATTGTGTCTTCCTACTGAGGATCTGTTGATAAAGTATCCTAAAACTTTAGATAAATTGATTTAATCACCCAACAAGCTTACAAAGAAGAGATTTATTATCCCCCAGTTGCTGACAAGAAACTGAGGCATAGAAACTAAATCAGGTAAATTGTTCAGACTAACACAGTGAAATGGTGGGGAAAGATTTGAACGATCCACAGGGCCCACAGTCCACACCCCCTCTCTAGAGCTGGGAAGCCAGCCACAGTTGGTTGTTTTGTTTGTTTGTTTTCTTGAGGTGAGGAAGGGTTGCCATGTCAACTTCTAATTGACACACTTATCTGTGGATACAGGCTGTTAAATCTTAAACAAAATATCACACAGTTGACATGATCACCTAATCTGTTCCTTTAGTAGTCAGGCATAGAAGCAAATACTAGTAATCCCAGAATTCAGGAGATGGCTACAGGGGGATTACTGTGAGTTCAAGGCCCATTGGGCTCAGTAGAAGCCAGTCTAGGCAATATAGCAAACCTCCACCTTAAAAACAAACAAACAAACAAAAAGATAGCTATTATGATAGTTCTTCTGCCAGCAGGTCTGGAGATGCACCATGTTCTAAATGTAACTATGTTTAAGCGGAAGGTTTATAATGCTACAATGAATTAAAGTGTGTGGCAACTTTTTAATCCAAAAAACCAATTTAACAAAAGTGATAGCTTCCCTAATTTTATGTCTTAGTTTCCTTCAATAGTGTGAAAGCTATAATCACATGCTTTGATCATAGGCTGGGTACTCTAATTCTAAAGAGACACTTTGACTCTCCATAACTAAGATTGGAGCAGTGAAGATACCCCTTGGAGAGGACCAGTAAGAAGTCTCACAGCTGAATCTACATATCTTTCTGGGTCCATTCCTAGTTCTCTGTATATTGTAAAGTTCTCACAGCTATATGGAAGATGAAACAGATCCATTCTCTCCCTGAGTTGAACAAACTATCCCTTTCTAAATTCCGTTTCCTATTTATTTATTTACTTACTTATTTATTTGGACTACAGGTAATCTGAGGGGGAAGTTATGGACTTGACCACTTGCTAACAGTTGAATAATCAAATTTAAAGTCAAAACTTCATTCTGTAGAAAGGAATCATCTCCAATGGGATCTGACCACAGTTTTAGTCAATTGAATTTTATAATCTTAAGATTTCTGTATTAGAAAATTATAGAGGTACAATTTGTAACTGAAAAATTGTTTTTTGAATTTCCATGTACAACTTAGTAATCAGATTCATTTTACTTTAACTTCCTGGGAATTGTTCAAGGGTTTAAAAAGAATTACAGCTCTCAAACTTAAAAAAAAAAAAATCACCTCTTAATTCATGTCACATGCTGACATTTGAAAGCAATAACTCCTCAGGATAAGGCCCTTTCCTCTCCCACAACCTTTTTCTTACAGAGCCCCTCTTCTGAGTCACTTAGACCAAACCCTGGTTTTTGAAAGAGCTTTTGAAATTCTTAAAATAGCACAAATAACTCCACATGTTTGAAGAGAAAAACCCTACTCCTGAGTCAAAAATATTAACTCATTAACTCACAGCATTTTGTCTAACACAGATGTTAAAAGTCTTATGCAAGAACAGGTTGTTTAGCCTTCCATCCAATGTCCTTTATCCCTCTTGGAGTTGTCATTTGTGTTTTTATATAAAAAGATCTCTTTAATCTGTTGGCAGCTAAAGTGCCAAGCAACTGCAGTCAAGAGCAGGGAAAGGGATCAGCTGGCACTCCATCTTTGCAGTCCTTCTCCTGGAGCAATGTGACACCCTGATCCACCTGGTCATTGCCTTCACTCACAGTCCTCCCTTCCATTCACCACAAATGGAAGCTTCTTAGCTTAGCTCCATGGTAAGCTTTGTCCCTGTCCTTCCGTTCCTCCTCCCCCATGAAAGCACAGAGGAAAGCTTTCAGGGACATCCTCAGCTTTAACTTGCTGATGCTGAGCTTTCTACTGTATTTTCCCTAAAATACAACCCTTGTCCAGGTTTCTGTCAGATATCCGTGCCTGAATAACAGCTAGCTAGCTGGTCCACTCCTTACAGCAAGGTGAAAGTGTGGTTAGAGGAAATAACAAGAAATTGGCTACTTAGGAGAATTTGTTGGGATGCGTGGGACTTCCTGGATTTGTCCCTTCTGTAAGTCTCATAAATATCGTGTGATACCCTAAACCCCTGAGATTCTCACCCCTACACCCAGGACAACTTTAAGAACATTTCTTTCCATCTTTAATCTGTCAACTATGTTTATATTCATCACCCATTGGAAAATTCGCTCTTCCCACAGAGTAGAGGGCATGGTCACCCAGGTCCCACTTTGGAGAAGTGCCTTAAGCCATTGGTGTCATGATTAAGGACACTGCAAGTTGTCTGGGAGATCCGTGGGAGGAGCTGTGAGGTCTGGAGGAGGAAGATGCTACTTAAGCCTTGATAAGAGAGAGGGAAGGAGACAGGCAGGAAGGGAGATTGGTTTTGGACTGAGGGGAAAGGAGCCTATGGGAAGAGGTTTCTCAGAGCTGTGGCCAACTAGAAGTGCACACATCTCACTACAGCTGGAAGGAAGCCAAGGGCCTTTAAGCAGCTGTTTGGGCTTTATGTCTGACATGGACAGAACCATGGAAGGGTGTCTTGGGCAGGAAGGATTTACATACAGGATCTCACTGTGTAGCCTAAGGTGGCCTCAAATTTACAGTCCTTCTGACTCAGCCCTCCCCCCCCTCCAAGTGCTAGGGTTACAGGTGTGTGTGACCCACACCTGGCCAAAGAGTTGTCACAGGAATATCAAGAGGAATCATAGACCCAAACTCTACATGGAACCCAGTGAGTAGGCCTGTGAGCTAGTGGAGTATCATCCAATCAGGCTTCACATAGTGGTGTCCATGGGTGTCTGGGTGAGGCTGTCGGTACTGAATAAGGGCTAATGTAGAAAAAGAGCGATCAAGTATGACGATAAGGTCATGGCATGAACATGTTGAGAAGATGTCTCTGGGACTCAAAGTAGAGATTTCCTATACCACCTCAGAGTGGAGCAACAAACCAGACAATACATGCTGAATAAACTCCAGTCTTCATGTGATCACCTATAGGGAGAATAATTGATAGGGATGGCACAGAGAGGAAGATAGGCCATGAACATACTGGATCTAAGGGACACTCATGTCCCTAGGTACTCATTTATAGGTACCTAGGGACAAATAGTGAATGAGATGTGCCATCCTAACTGTGTGGATGTTGAGTCTTTGGTCATAAGATTCCAGGACATGGCTTTGGCTGGCAAATACTGTCACTTAGACATTGTCACATGTGTGAGTCATTCCTCCTCCTCAATTAGGAGAACTGAAGAGCAGCAGCTGTCTCACGGCAGGCTTCAGGCCCAGGTAAATTTCCATTCCTTTGTTTCTAGAACTTAAACTCTGCACCTTAGCTTCTGCACTGGCTCTCTGGGAGGGAGCCCCAGCCCCAGCCCCCACCCCACCCTGCAGCATCTGAAGGAAAAGTGGTAGAGAGAGGCCACATCCCTCACATGGTCACCCCCTGCTAGTTGTTCATTCCAGGCATCTGTACTGGGGTTCTGACAGGATAAGCTCTCAGCTGCAGCCACTAAGAGCACCACTTGTGCACAGTCACTATGTTGCCTTTTAAAAGGGCCCTGCCCACCTCCCATCCTCCTCTCTTTCTCGTTCTCTCCCTCTCTTTGTCTGTCTGTACCTCTCTCTCTCCCTCCACCTTTCTCCCCCCTCCCCCTTCTTTCTCCTCTCTTTCCTCTCTCCTGCTGCTCCTGTCCCCAGAGGCTGGTCTTCTCCCTCCCCATTTTATGCCCCTTTCTCTAATAAAAAACAAACAAACAAAAAGCCCTCTACTTGAACCCTGTTGCATGGCATCTTTCTCTAGCGCGCTGCTTTTCTTAAATTACAACACTCATAGCCTCTAACTCTCTACCGTGGAGTGGGCATGGCTCTGTTATGAATGCAGGGCTCTTGCATCTTCTAGAAGGTAAGACAGCCCCCCCCGTGGGGGGGGGGCAGCGGGAGTTATTGTCACCACAGAGCTGGCATTGACAGAGCCTGGAGTTCTGGTATCAGGCCATGCTTTTCTACCACATCCTAGAGCAACTATACACAGCAGCTGTGGCTACTCACGGAAATCTTCAGACTTCAGGACACATTAAAAAGGGGAAAGAAGATATAGTAATAAGGATTAATTTTAGATTTGAAAATGTCCAGTATGCTTCCCTAACACACACGCGCGCGCGCGCGCGCACACACACACACACACACACACACACACACACACACACTCAAGTATCTCAGCTCCAGGGCGGGAACAGCAGCACAAAGACATGAAGACTGGGCCATGCCCAGCGCTTCAGGGCTGTACTACAAGAGAAATGTGAACAGCCACCATAAGCACCTAAGCTCTTGGCTCTCCACTGAAAGCCTCCCTCCCAGTTCCCCGAAGGAATACTTCCTGCCCAACCCCAAACAATGCTATCTGGCTCCTAGTAAATTGCCATCTGTTTCCCACTTCCCTGAACCACGCAGTGAGCTGATGCCTGGTTTTCACCGGTGCAAACAAAGACAATGTGTTTCCTTTGTTGTGCCCAGCATCTGTGACTTCACTTCCCCGGTCCCAGCAGCCAGTTGTAGTTCTCAGCTATAAACCAGGAAGCCAGAGGCCTGGCCCCTCCCACAAGGCACT